CCTCAGAACTTCTCATCCAAAGTTACAATGACCCCATTTTCTTACATATATGTTGGGTAATACTGCAGCTGACTACTTTTGTTGTTCCTTGGAGAASCTTTCAAGTCTCTTGAAGCTTCCCCCCCAACGGTTGCTGGTGTTTCTCTAATCCCTCTTGGAAATGGAGCTCCTGATGTGTTTGCTAGCATTGCCGCTTTTGTGGACACGGATGCAGGTGAGGTGGGTCTCAATAGTGTTCTTGGTGGAGCTGTTTTTGTTACTTTTGTTGTTGGGACTGTCTCGCTTTGTGTTGCAGAGAAGAGGGTTCAAATTGATAGGAGATGCTTTATTAGAGATATTTGTTTTTTCCTCCTCACCCTTGCGTCACTTTTACTAATTTTGATAATTGGTATAGTGAGTGTTGGTGGAGCAGCTGCCTTCGTCTCGGTCTATATTGTTTATGCTTTTTCTGTTGCTGCAAGTGAGATGTTGAGGAAACATGCCCGTAGGTTAAAGCTGGATACTGTGGCGCCATTGCTTCCAGTCAGAGGGAGTATCTTTTTCATAGGAAGTGAGGAAGATGAATCTATTTACAGCTCACCACTGGACATAGAATCTGAGAGTGATCCACCACACCTTGTGGATGTGGGCTTCAAAATGTGGCAATTTATTCAAATCAGACATTGAGGATTAATGGGTTAGATAGCTCAAGGCGTTTGTGGGGATGGACTGATGAGGTAACTGATATTGATGACCGTTCACTCATTTCCTGTTCTAAAATATTTTCACTATTGGAGTTAGACAATTCCAATAGTTGAGGAGCAACGATGGTCCAAAGTGTATRCAGTCTCCAATGCCTCATTGGCTCCCATGCTTCTTGCATTTCTGTGGAATACTCAAGATAATGTGGATTCTCAAAGCAGAAACGTTGCATATGTTGCAGGTGTTTTGGTGGGTGGTACACTTGGTGTTATTGCCTTTCTCTTCACCCGAACTGATCAGCCACCTTACAAGTTCTTATTTCCATGGGTTCTTATTAAATAATAATTATTTTTTATTAAATTTAGTTGTGTTATTTATTAATTATTAATTATTCCTATTAACTAGTAATTTTTAATTATTTTATTATTTTTTAAAAATTATTTTAATGCTTATTTGTGTAAATTATTAATTATTTTAATATTTTTATATTCATTAATTATTTTTTTTAATTTTCATTGTTTCATTTATTAATTAGTAATAATTAATTTTTTATTTTTTATTTATATTGTTTCAATATTATTTTGAGGTTGAAAATTATTTTTTATGAGATAATGTAAATTGAATTCAACATTTCCAAATAGTATGTTTTAGAGGTAAAATAGTAAAATCAGTAAATTTCAGATGGTAAATGGTTGATCCAAGACGAACAAACTTATAGATTCAGATCCTCTAAAAAGTAGAAAAGCATCTATGCCTCTTTTCAGATTTCAGACACATTTAATATCTTTTTAACTTTTTATATATGAATTTTCAGATTTATCAAACACCACCTTACTAAAACATCTTTAATTTGCAATCTGTTTACTTAWTTGATCTTTCATTAGATGAAAGTGCAAAATGATGGTTTGAATCATTCAAACTGTATTTGAGGTGGCAAATGAAAGGTAGATAATATAGGCCAGAAATCCCTACTTCACCAAATTAGGACAACTCGGTTCCTGATACAAATATACAGGATTTCAAGTTGAGCAGAACCAAAATCTATATAACTCAATCCTACACTGAATTCTGGCCCAAATTTTATGAATTGAAATCAGCCCCCCACAAGATTGCCCCCCACAATGTCCCACAGCACATTCTCGCCGTGAATTGAAAACATCTCCTGATTATATATCAGAAAGGATGATATCATCATYGGAAAATGTTCCTAATACACGGCAAGGATGTGTTGTGGGATGTTGTGGGGAGCTGATATGATCTCAAATTTTACTCCAACCCATAAGCCCAAAATTTTTTTCTTAGGCTCAGTTTGAATAGAGTACAAATATAAATATATACAGTATAAATACATACAAAATATAAGGTTTTGCACTATACATATTTGCATTTATACTCCTTCCAAACTGAGCCTTAGATTCGATGCATGGCCCAAGTTGCARCTTCATCTTTGTCCTTTAGTCATTGCCAAGTTCTCAACGGGGCCAAATCCACATTCATGTAGTCCTCACAATCTTCCCATTTCAAACAGGTGGGATCCAAATGTAAACACCAAAATCCAATTAACATCAACGGGTATAAGGCTGCATTTGTCATTCTTTATTTTAAAGACTTATTTTTTTATTTTTTTTTTGCAGTTAAAATGTTTTATAAAAAACTGAATTTTTAACTGTAAAAATGAGATTAATCCTTAAAATAAAAAATGCCAAATGCAGTCTCGCCTAATACAACTCCCAAACAGACAGGACCGACCTCCATGGCTCCGTCCCAACAATCTTCAACACTTGAAATGCCCTTTTCAATTTATTAGTTCTCTTGATAATTCAAGAGCTTTTTCATTAATCATTAACTAGCGGAGGGGCCCCTTCTTCATACGGGCTAGAGTGGAATTGTAATATTGTTATTTGCTATATTAAAAAAGATAATGGTTTCTTAATAAGAAACTTGTAATTATAAATACTCAAATCTTAAAATTCATATAAAGACTTAAAAGAGATAATCATGTACTTATTTTTTAAATATTGATTCAGTAAAACATCTAATATAAAAAAACACGATCATACAGTGATAGTTATGAGTTCTACTTCATATMTGTCCTTTGTTTCACATCGAGAACTCCTAGTTGATCTAGACAGTAGGACCGTTTGGCTTGGGAACTGTCCAGGCAACCAGTTCCGTTTTACCCCAAACCCGGTCCTTGGCTAAAAATCATTGAATCAGTCAACGACCTATTGACCCGGGCGGTCGAACCGTCGACCCATTCAACGGTTTTTAGCCATTTTTATTTTTAGTTATTTTTTTATTTTTTAACTTTTGTTGTCAGAGTGGGCCATCCGTTCGAACCGGACGGTTAAATCATCGACCTGGAAACCGGTGGCCATAATGGTTCTGTTTTCGAGTCGTTTTCTCTAGATGTCAATAATTAAACGAAATGACTTTGTAGTCATAGTCATAGGAAGGGTGGACATTGCAAGGGATTCCAAAACCTTGAAAGATAATTCCAAAGTTACCTTTAATACAAAAAAAATTGGTGGTAAATCCACCAAATTGGAAAAACCAAGGAAAAAAAATCAAAAAATCGAGTCCAAAGTTCTGCTTTGAGACGAAGCTAAACATACATGCAATCAAAGAAAAAGACAAAGCATATTGTCTTGTAAGAAAATTAAAAAAAAAAAAAACATTGCACAAGAAAACCCAAAGAAGAAACAAAGGGGAATAAATAAAATGGTGGTAAACCCTAGACCGTTTTGGAGGATCTTGAAGAAGAAGACCAAACATAAAAAAAATAAAATAAAATAAAAGCAGAAAATGAGAAAAAATGAACATAACGCACACACTCGAATAAAGCCCACAGTAGAAGAAACATTTGAATAGTGAAAATCCAAAAAGCATAAAACCATGGTTTTTGAACCGTCATTGACTCGGACGAATGAACATTTTGGCCTGGGAACCCTCCAGGCAATCGGTACCGTTTTACCCCAATCCCAGTCCCTAGTAAAAAACCGTTGAACCGGTCAATGCCCCATTGACCTAGGTGGTCAAACCGTTGACCAGTTCAATGGTTTTTGGTCGTTCTTTTATTTTTTAATTTTTGTTGTCAAAACGGGTCATCCGTTCGAACCGGATGGTCRAACCGTCAACCCAAAAACCAGTGGCCAGAATGGTTCTATTTTCAGGTTGTATGAGTCACATGCTCGAAYGACATAACACATATGATACTGCTTAATGAACCTCACACACTCAATTTTTTGCTTGTAGTTTTTGTTGTCAGAACAGACCGTCTGTTTTTTTATTTTTTTAATTGGAAACCGTCCAGGTAATTAGTTCCGTTTTACCCGAATCTCGGTCCCTGGCCAAAAATCGTTGAATTGGTCAATGACCGATTGACCTGAGTGGTCCAACAATCAACCTGTTGACCCGTTCAATGGTTTTTGATCATTTTTTTAATTTTTTTAATTTTTCATTGTCAAAATAGGTCGTCCGTTCGAACCGGACGATCGAACCATCAACCCGAAAACCAGTGGCCAGAACGGTTCCGTTTTCGGGTCGTATGAGCCACACGCTCGAATGACATAACACGTATGATACTGCTTAATGGACCTCACGTATTCAATTTTTCGCATGTAATTTTTGTTGTCAGAACGGGTCGTTCGTTCAAACTGGATGGTCGAACCATTGACCCAAAAACCGGTGGCCAGAGTGGTTCCATAATTTTTTGCTTATAATTTTTTGTTATCAAAACGTGCCATCAGTTCGAAATGGACGGGCGAACTATCGACCCAAAAACTGGTGGCCATAACGGTTCCATTTTTGGGTCATATGAGTCATACTCCCAAATGACATAACAYGTATGATACTGCTTAATGGACCCCACACACTTAATTTTTTGCCTGTAATTTTTGTTGTTAGAACGGGCCGCCCGTTCGAATCGGATGATCAAACCATCGACCCAAAAACCAGTGGTCAGAACGATTCCATAATTTTGTGCTTATAATTTTTATTATCAGAAGAATCCGTTCATTTGAACCGGACAATCGAACCTTATTTTTCAATGAAAAATATTTTATATACATAAGATTGGTTATGCTCCTTTAMAAAAAGAGCAAATTACTAAAATCTCCCATCAAATTTTGATTAGTGATGAAAAGTTGGTAATTGCAAATTGCAATTAGAAATAAAGCCCTCCGTTGGCATCTTTTAATAAGAGATATGAAAATGTCCAAAGTATGCATACAGTCGCTTCAGACCGAAATGTTTATTTTTGAAAAATTTTCCTATATAGTCCAATTAAATACTTTCGATCTTTTTTCTAAAATTAATTTATTCTTCTAAATTTGTCCTGTTACAATTTTAAATTCTTTTTTTATTGTTGTTCATGACATTTATATTTATTTTTTATGTAAAAATGATACTCTAATAAATAAATATATGGGTATTTTGGAKTAGAAAACGTCTACTTGCAACTATGTGATCAGAAAATTTAGCAAACTTAGGGGGTTTCAGCAAAGCAAAATAAAAAACGGTCATCCCCTTGAATCTTGATAACTGATAACTGATAACCTACCTATAAGCGTCTCATCTGATTGCATGGAAAATATGGAAAGGAAGACGTAAACTCCATTTTGGTAGCAGCCGGAACCTCGCGTTTCTGGAGCGAGAAACCTCGTCCGTCCCCATCGCATCCCTTTACGACATCCCCAAACCCAAATCAAGCCAAGACACCCAACCACCACCTTCTTTTCTCCTTTCTCACCGTCCTGTCTCATTCTTTCTCTCTCCCAACTCTCCCAAATGAGAGGACGGAGGAAATTCATTTCGCATCTTCTCTTTTTTCTCTTCTCCGTCTTCAATCTCGTCTCTATAGCCATCTCCGACGATGCTGCGATCATGGGAAAGCTGGCCGCCTCGCTTTCTGGGCACCCTCCAGACTGGTCAGGCAACGACCCCTGCATATGGACTGGCATTACCTGCGACAACACCAATCGAGTCACCGGCATCAACCTTCCCAAGAAATCTCTCGGCGGTTCTCTCCCTCCAGATCTTAATCAACTCACCCAACTCAGACTCCTCTATCTCCAAAACAACGCAATCTCCGGTGATTTGCCTTCTCTAGCCAACCTCACAAATCTCATTGAAATTAATCTTAATTCTAATAAATTCACCTCCGTTCCGGACACATTTCTCACGGGGCTCACGAGTTTGCAGTTGCTGAGCATCAGCAACAACACTGATCTCGCACCATGGTCTATACCTGTTGATCTGGCGCAATCCACGACCTTGGTCACGTTTTACGCGAGCAGGGCCAACATAATGGGTATGATACCAGACATTTTTGGCTCGTTTCCGAATTTGCTGTCTCTCAGGCTATCTTACAATAGCCTGACGGGTCCTCTGCCTCCTTCTTTAGGCGGTACTAAGATCCAGAACCTGTGGCTGGACCATCAGGCATCTGGGTTAGCTGGGACTATTGAGGTTCTCGGAACAATGACGCAGATCTCCCAGGTGTGGCTCCAAACAAACAAGTTCACGGGTCCGATCCCAGATCTTTCCAAGTGCACGGCACTCTTCGATCTTCAGCTCCGTGACAATCGATTCACTGGAGTCGTGCCCGAGACATTGATGTCGTTGCCCAGCTTGCTTCACGTGTCATTATCGAGCAATATGTTTCAGGGTCCATTGCCCCAGTTCAAGTCCAATGTGGAGGTTATTCTTGGCTCGGGCAATCGTTTCTGTAGCAAAACGCCCGGTCCTTGTGATCCTCAGGTAACGGTATTGCTCGCTATGGCCGGCGGCTTCGGCTACCCCATGAGCTTGGCGGAAGCTTGGGTTGGTAATAACGCATGTCATGGTTGGGCCTTTATTACTTGCGATTCACAGAAAAATGTTACTGTGATCAGCCTGGGGAAGCAGCAATTATCGGGGACGATTTCGCCTGCCATTAGCAACCTTACTTCATTGAGGATGTTGTTCCTGAACGACAATAATCTCACGGGCCCAATTCCGGAATCATTGACAACTTTGCCTAAGCTTCAGACTCTTGATGTCACCAACAACAATCTCACCGGAAAGATCCCAGTTTTTCCGGCAGGTGTATTGCTGAAAATGTCGGGGAATCCTTTACTTGGAGCCCATAGGGGTACTTCGCCTGGTCTAATTGCTGGTATAGTTATTGTTAGTTTGGTTTTCTTAGCTATTGCGTTTTTTGTCTATTACAAATATTACGTCAATAAAAGATCACAGAAAATTGAGCCGGTCGAAAGCAGTCATGCAAATGCGAACGAGGAAGGGAAAAGTGGGATGTTTGCTACGAGTGGATTTGGAGGTGGAAGCGAACATTACAGTAATGAAGATGCCTCCAGTGATATCCGGTTCTTTGAAGGTGGGAGTGTCGTTATTCCAATCGAGGTCCTTAGACAGATTACTAACAATTTCAGTGAGGAAAAAGAATTGGGTAGAGGAGGATTTGGGATTGTTTACAAAGGCGAAATGAAGGATGGAACGCAGGTTGCTGTTAAGAGGATGGAATCATCATTAATGGGTACAAAGGGGATGAATGAGTTTCAATCAGAAATTGCAGTTCTTTCAAAGCTTAGGCACAGGAGTTTGGTCGCCCTTTTGGGTCACTGTATCAATGGCAATGAGAGGCTTTTGGTCTACGAGTATATGCCTCAGGGGACATTGGGGGAACATTTGTTTGAATGGAAAACGAGAAGATACCCTCCTCTGACATGGAAACAGAGGGTCGCAATAGCATTAGATATGGCCAGGGGTGTGGAGTATCTACACACCTTGGCACAGCAAAGTTTCATTCACAGGGATTTGAAACCTACAAACATTCTTCTTGGGGATGACATGAGGGCTAAGGTTGCTGATTTTGGTTTGGTAAAGAATGCCCCTGATGGGAATTTTTCTATCGAGACAAGGTTGGCTGGAACATTTGGATATCTTGCACCTGAGTATGCTGGTAAGGCATCAAATTCTATTCATCAGTCCATAGCATAGATTGTTGATCACCTTCTTTCTTGGAAAAGAAATATCTAGTCTTGGGCATGATGTATAACCCAGTGATGAGTCTTTTCTCCATCTATAAAAACCAACCTCAGTAGATGAGAATTTTCAATACCTTGTCCATGTTTGCACTTTCGGTTTAGTCTTCATAGAGCTGTCATCTGAAAACAGTACAAGTTTGTTGCGTCATTTTGATTTGAATTAGTATCTAAGGTTTGGTTTTGCTTTGTTATCGATCGAAAGACTTATTTACATGCTCTTTGGAAAGCTATCATCTTAATTAGGCCAGTGATATCAAAAGACTTATTTATATGATCTAAAATATTCTTTTAATTTTCGGCATTCTCTTTGCTCTTAGTGAATTTTGTGAAGCAAGCTAGTTCTAAATAAAACACTGGCTTCCAAATTTTCTGGGGGGTGGAAATTTTTCTAAGGTGTTATGATTGTGTCAAAACTTCTTCTCCCAATTAAGTTTCTAAATCCTCAACAGTATATACAAATGAATACAGGGAGTTAGTTCTATACGTGTTGAACTCTTGTTCTCTTTGTTTTTGTTTTCTTGCAGCTACCGGACGGGTGACCACAAAAGTTGATGTTTATGCATTTGGTGTGGTCTTAATGGAAATAATCACTGGGAGAAAAGCGTTAGATGAAACCATGCCAGCAGAGAGCTGTCATCTGGTCTCCTGGTTCCGTAGAATCCTGATCAACAAGGACATCAGAAGTGCTATTGATTCCACCCTTGATCCTGATGATGAGACCTTTGCTAGCATCTGCAAGGTGGCAGACCTTGCAGGTCATTGCACAGCTCGTGAGCCATTTCAGAGGCCAGATATGGGACATGCAGTTAATGTTCTGTGTCCTCTTGTAGAGCAGTGGAAGCCCTCTTCTTCCCCTGATGATGATGATGATGATGATGAAGGCGACATTAATTTTCACATGGAAACCATACAGAAATGGGACGACGATTAAGACACATCAATGACCGACTCTACAAGACATGCAGACTCATTCAATGCAACAGATCGCCGACGAAGAGAATTGATGACAAAATTCTGTAAAGTATGAGGAATATATATACAGGTTTTCATGCTATTTTGACCATTGAGAAACTCGACATTTTTTTATTGCTTTTCTCTTATGATGTTTATATGTCCTCTCGTTAATTAGTTCTTCTGGTGATCTTTATTTTGTTAATTCCTTAGAAGAACTACGTTCATGTTTCTTTGGTTTAGATTCTTTGATGTAAAGTCAACAAATTGATTTGGTGGTGCACATGGTGGTGGAGGAAATGATGGTTTAATGGTTAAGAGGGTGGATTTCCATGTTATGGAAGAGGGATTTTAGTGAACACTTGTCCATGGTTGATAAATGAATGTTGATCATGAAAAGTACTTATTTGTTCCCAAGTTATGAGACATTTTTCTTTTCTGTTCTTAAATTATGTGGTGATATAGGTAGGATAGAATTTATTAGCTTTGATCCCTTCTCATTCGTTTTGCAGGCCGTCTAAGATTATACAAACTAATTTGATATTATATTTTATGAACAAAATTAATTTAAAATCAATTATTTTAATCTTTATCCTATGAAAATTTAATATAAGCATAATATTCAAATCAATTTCACCGATAGATATAATRTTATAATTTCTAAGTATAGGGAGATACTYGATCCAATTATAAATAGATAGAATTTGATTCAGCCTTAGGGCTCAACCTTTTTTTGGATTTTGATAGGGAAAAATTGGTCAATGGGATTTTAGTTACTATTGACCAAGATATTCATGTTTTTTTAGACTTATGTGGGGTTTATGGGAAATTTATTTTTCTTGATACYGTAAGTGATACCCATCTTCTAGGTGGATAAATAACTTTCTCACCTCGAGAAAAATTACCAACACTGAATCGAACAAAATTACCCCTTTAATAATAGCTTTTTATGACTAATACAGTCATTTTCTTATTTATCTGCCAGATAAAATAACATGGGTAAGAACTTCCCCCAATACCATATGGCCCTAGCAAGGGTATACATCCATGCAGTAGTTATTTGTTTGGGGCAACCTTTACACATGAATTATGTCAACCTTCCGGCCCGGGCATTCTGGCCGGCCCATTTAAATTCTAACAAATCTTCAACTCAAACCCACCCAAATTGCACCCCTAGCAATATATAGAAGTTTTCTGGTCTTTTGTTGTAATTTTTGTTATAGTTTATTTTTTAAAGGGTAGATTTCATRGTATATAAGATAATTTTAGTTCAACATATAAACATTTGAAAAAATCTATGATACTAGAAAGGCATGTTAATGGAAGCTTAGCTTTGACCAATCAAAGCACCCCCGTGAATTTTGGATGAATACCACCTAAATGGCCTCTTTTGTGAACCGATTGATTCACTTTAAGTTTTTMTAGTATCATGTCTTCCCGGTATCATAATCAAACCCTTAGATAGTTTACTATTTTACTTATTTTTGTTAAGGATATATTACCAAAAACGAAGTTTAAATTATTATTATCATAGATAACTATAGATGTCAAGTATAATTGGGTTAATTGGATCAGACCCAACTATCCCAATTATTAATAATTAGTTCTGCTTTGGGTCTAATCTTGTATAACTGGTGAGGGATAATTTCGCCTGACCTGTAATATAATGACACATGGAGTGACCCGTTGATCTCGTGACATCTCAGCATCCTCGGACACCTTAGCAGTCCAAGGCACCTCGGGTCACTTAGGTAAGACCGAGGCCCAAGAAGCTCGTCACACACACTGACCTGTCGAGGTGCCACGTAGCCTTTTTCTAGAAGCGAGCCAGCTGTCTCCGATCTCTTCGGGATCATGTCCTACTCGAATTGGACGGACTTGGATAATCCTTATCAGCTTACATGGAGCCCCCACCTTTGGGTGCGGAACGGACTCCGGGTTACGTGGGCCAGTGATCTCGGACACATTTCATGAGGCCCACGGCAACATGCCTATATAAGGGCATCTCCTCCAGCCTCACAAGGTATGCACAATTTAGCTCTCTTACTAGCATTCTAAGCTATCAACACTCTCAAAAACCTCCTACGCTAACTTAAGCATTGGATTGCCCACACCGGGTAAAGTACCCCGGGACCTCTGATCTACTTGTCTTGCAGTTCAACCTGGCCATGTAACAGACCGACGTTTGATCTGCCTTCCAGCAGGGAGCGACCAGATCACGCTACATCAATTGGTGTCGTCTGTGGGAATGCAACAAAAAGCCTAGTTCGTTCTCATCACCTAGCTTTCTCACTTTTACTGATCAATGGCTTACTCAAGCAACAACCAGGCCCACGGTAAACCCTGAAGTCGCGTCTATGACCATTGGGCAGTTTATAGTGCCCCTAGCTCTACCTGGCATCCCAACATTGTCGAACCCGGCCTTCCTACTGCCACAAGTGAACGTGCCTCTCCCTCTAGTAGAGCCCTCTATGGTTCCCATGGGGATCGATGTTCACCAGTTTCACAAGCTGGTGTAGTACATCCGCGACATGAATTTGCAAATGCAAACATGGGAGGAGAGGTCCGCAATCATGATGCAGTAGCCACAACAACAACAACCTCAGTAGCCGTGACTTGCTTGTTAAACATCGTCCAGCGGCTGAAAGAGACGCTTCACGATTACATAAAGAGGTTCAACCTAGAGCATCTCCAAATTCCTAATCTYGACCCAGCACTACAACTCACTACAATGGTGAATGGCATCCGCCACCCTGATTTGCACTGGGAGGTCAAGTTAAACCCTCCAACCTCTACGGAGGAGTTCCTCACCTAAGCTAACAAGTTTAGTAAGGCGGAGGAGGCACTGGGATCCCGGTTAAATTTGCATAGGAAGAGGAAGCGAGTAGAAGAAGAGGCGGGGAGGAGTAAGTAGCGGTGAAAGAGTAAGTCGCCAAAGAGAAGCCAGTCCCCCTATAGCAGGTGAAACATATCGCCACAAAGGCGCAGGTCCCCACATTGGAGTTCCAAGTTAGGCCGACAATCTAGAACTCCACCAGTCCAAAGTCGTAACTACACCGCCCTAAATGCAAAAAGGGGTGAGATCCTGATGCAAATCAAGACGGTTGAGTATGTGATATGACCGCCTAGGATGAGAGGCAACCTCGCCAACCGTAACCCTAACAAATACTATCACTTTCACCGTGACATTGGCCACAACACCGAGAGTTGCAGAAATTTGAAGGATGAGATCTAGGAGTTGATCCATCACAGCTACCTAAAGTAGTTCATCAAGCATGATGAAAGAAGTCAACTTGGCGGCCAGCTCAGGGAAGCACTAGAGTCGAGTAGGCATCAAAATCGTGATCAGCCACCTCGGGATCCACCACCATCAAAGAGGTCGATTATCGGGGTGATCAACATGATCACCAATGGATCAATAGTGGCAGGTTGTAGCATGGCAATGGGGAAGAATTCAGTTCAGGAGCTAAAGCATGAGGACAAGAACCCACCAAAGTGCCCTCGTGTGGAGGAGGTCATCTACTTCACCAAAGATGATGCTTGTGGGATCCAGTATCTCACCGAAGATGAGCTCGGCTAACATCCTTTTTGTGGAGGCCTTTGAGAAGATGCACCTGCAGCAGAAAGATTTGCAACTAGCAAATGCTCCACTCATCGGCTTCAGCGGAGATGTGGTGAAGCCCCTAGGCCAGACCAAGGTACTAGTTGCAGTAGGATTAGAGCCCAAYGCAGTCCGATTCGAGCACACCTTCTTGGTGGTTGCCCCCCCGTCCCCCTACAATGCAATTTTAAGGCGGCCCATTTTGCATGCACTCTACGCGATAGTGTCAACCTACTACTTCTTGATGAAGTTCCCAACGAGGTATTGAGTGGGGGTTGTACAGGGCAACTAGTTGGAGTCACGGAAGTGCTATGTCGCGGCACTAATGGGCRAAAGGAAGCTAGYAGACGACATCGAGCTAGAGCCACCCCCCGAGAACATAGATGAGCAAGCTYGACCCATAGAGGACACCATCCTGGTCCCGGGTCCGATACTGAGCCCAAGAAGATAGTCCAAATCAGAGCTCACAAAGCAAAACCATTTCAGTCACAACTGGTAAGCTTTTTACTTAAGAATTTAGATTTTTTTGCATGGTCGGCAGTAGAGATGCCCGGCATAGACCCATCTGTGATTACTCACAAACTTAATGTGGACCTCTTAGTTAGGCTAATCAGACAAAGGAAAAGGAACCTCGCCCCAGAAAGGTGGAGGGGAGTAGATGAGGAGATCGGGAAGCTCCTAGTAGCAAACTTCATTTGAAAGGTCCAGTACCCAAGCTAGGTGGCCAATCCGGTGCTCGTGAAAAAGGTCAGTGGCAAGTGGCGCATGTGCATCGACTACACTAACCTCAACAGAGCCTATCCAAAGGACAGTTTCTCGCTCCACAAAATAGACAGCCTTGTTGACGTAACCTTGGGGCACAAGTTGCTGAGCTTCATGGACGCATACTCCGGCTACAACCAAATCCGAATGGACTTAGATGGCCAGGAGAAAATGACTTTTATAACCGAGCTAGGGCTATACTATTATAAAGTTATGCCCTTTGGATTGAAAAATGCTAGAGCAACTTTCCAGTGGCTTGTAAACAAAGTTTTTGCTCCAATAATTGGCAATAAAATTGAATGTTATGTTGATGACATGGTYGTGAAGACCCAGTTTTCAAAATCTCTTATGGATAATTTAAATGTTGTTTTTCAAATTTTAAGGAAATTTAACATGAAGCTCAACCCAAACAAGTGTGTCTTTGGGTCATGTCGGGCAAATTCCTTGGCTACAAAGTGCACTGACGTGGCATCGAACCAACCTAGACAAAATCCAAGCAATCCTAGACCTGAGACCACCTAAGTTAACCAAAGAGGTGCAAAAGTTAATAGGCCAGATTGCTGCCATGAACCAATTTATGTCTAAGTCGGATGGGCGGTGTTTACCATTTTTTAAGGCAATTAAAAAGAACAAAGACTTCAAGTGGACTAAGGAGTGCCAACTCGAGTTCGACGAGCTTAAAAGGTGCCTAAGTTCACCACCTATGTTAATCAGACCTAAACCCTGAGACGAAATGAAACTTTACCTCTCTACGAGTGACGTGGTAGTGAGCTCGGTACTAATAAGAGAAGTAGACAGGGTGCAACGACCCATCTACTATATAAGTAAGGTATTGCATGCAGCTAAGACTAGGTACCCCAATATAGAGAAGTTGGCCTTCACCTTAGTCTTGGCAGCTCGGAAAGTACATCCATACTTCCAAGCCCATACCATTGTAGTCCTGACTGATCAACCTTTGAGGCATGTTCTTCAAAAG